CTTGTTAATTTTTAATTTACTAACCCAAACGATTATAGCCTTTTACATTAAAATGTTTTTTAGTGTGAAAGTAAGAGTGTACAGGAACCTCTGGTGCAAAAATGACTTAAAATTAAGAGATTCTGTAGAAAATAGGAAAATTTGAGAGGAAGTTGTAAAAACATAGAACCTGAATTATGATCACTATGTTTAATCGTACTTTAAAAATTATATAATTACTATGATCAGTCGTATCTTCAAATTTTATATAATTAATAATTGAATCATATCAAGCATTTTAAATATTTTAATTTTTTTAAAACTTAAATGTGTCCAAAGTGTTTTGTTATTAATTTGCGAAAATTTTAAAATTTTAACGATTTTTTAAAAACATTTTGGACGCAGCCTAACGTAGTAAAAATAATATTAATCTTTTTAACTTTATAAAAATTAGTTTATTTAAGAATTTTGTAAGAAAAATTTAAAGGAAAGCAATGCTCCCTTGCTTCAATGGGCGCTTTGCCACTGCAGTAATAAAATCCTTGGATATATTGCAAAAAAATTATCGAACAAATCAGATTCGTTCGAACAATAATTGGCACACGTGGTATTAATAAAAAAAATTTATCTTAATCTTCAATCAACTCTTTGGTTTAGTAGCTACTCTGGCATCAGAAAGAATGTTTCCCCTCTTGGCCTAGCCCAATCCAAATTTAGAAATAGATTTGGAGAAAAAGCTTGAAAATTTATTTATCATTTTATATATTTTGATTATAAAATCTTAATATTTAATTTATTGTTGAATTTTAATTTTAAAAAGAAATACTGATTAAATTGATGAAAACTAAAATTAGTTTAAATAATATTTAAACAGTATTTTTAATAAAATGGCAAGTGATGAATTTTGATAATTATTGTATTTAGTTGAATTGAAATAAAAAAAATTGATTTCAACCAATGATTTTTATTTCCACACCCGGATTAAAAGATCTCAATTTTTTTAAACCGAGCTGGACCGACAAATATGGTCATAGATAAGCCTCAACAAATATTCGCTTAGCCCTCGAAGGGTTAATACAGATCTTAGACTTTTAAAAATGTTAAATTACCTAATCTTGACCAACTATAATACACTGAACCAAACCTTCAGTCCAAATAAATGATTGGGTGATTTTTTTAAAAACTTTGTTAATCTATTTTGGGGATTACGGTATGGATTTTTCGGTAGCTTAATAATTTTGGCTAGAATTACATGTATACAAAATTGAGATTACTTTTAATGAAAGCTTTTTGAAGTTTTAAGAATTTTTAATCAATTTTGATCCCAAATTATTTAAAATAATGCAAACTCGGCGAAATTTTTGCCCGGGTTCGGTTCGGGTTCGATTTAAGGTTAAAAAAATAGGTGAGTTTGGTTCGGGTTCTGTTCAGGGAAATATTTTTGAACTCGGATTTGGTTCCGGATTCAGCTCGGGTTTAAGAATTTTGAATTGTTAAAAAATATTCTATATTTAAATCATAATTAAAAAACTAATAAATTTTTTATTTTATTTATAGGTAAAATATAGTTAAAAATACCAAGCATAGTCATTTTAAAAATTTTATTTAGACGTATTTCTTTAAATTAACAATATCCTATATAATAATTTTTACTTTCACTTGTTCACTTTCATTTTCCTTAAATTAATAATCTTTGAGAATAAGTTAAAAATTAAAAATAAATGACTTAAATGAATTAAATTGCTTAAAATTTATTAACACTCCAATAGGAATCTTTTTGAATAAATTTAAAAAAATTAAAAAATGGCGTAAATGAATTAAGTTGTTTAAAATTTATTAACACTTCACTTAGTTGGAAATTTGAAAATATTGTAAAATCTCAATTAAATTATTAATATTTATATTTACAATTATACAAATATCTTCTATGATTTTAAACAAGGTTCGAACCGAACCCGAACATGGAGAAGAAAATCCGGTTTTTGTGAAAAAGATTAAACCCGAACCGGAACCACGTTTATTAAATTTTCAAAACCCCGAAACGAACCCGGGAATTTTATTTGAACCCGGGTTCAACCGAGTTTATTGCTTAAATTAATATAAGATATTTGTATAATTGTATAACAAATATTAATAATTTACTTGACATTTTATAATATTTTCAAATTTCCAATTAAGTGAAGTGTTAATAAATTTTAAACAACTTAATTCATTTACTTTATTTTTTAGATTTTAAATTTATTCTCAAAGATTCCTATTAAATTGTTAATAAATTTTATTCATTTACGCCATTTATTTTTAATTTTTAACTTATTCTCAAAGATTATTAATTAGAGGAAAATGAAAGTGAACAAGTCAAAGTAAAAATTATTATATTGGATATTGTTAATTTAAAGAAATTGTCTAAATAAAAATTTAAACTATGCTTTGTATTTTTAACTATATTTTGTCTATAAATAAAATAAAAAATTTATTTTTTATACCAAATTTATGTCTAGTTTTTTAATTATGATTTAAATATAGAATATTTTTTTTATCAACAAAAATTCTTAAACCTGAACTGAACCCGGGTTCAAAAATATTTCTCTGAACCGAACCCACCAATTTTTTTTTAATCTTAAACCGAACCCTATCAAAAAATTTACCGGGTTCGCATCCCTGATTTTAAACAATACATTGAACTGGGTTCAAATAAAATTCCCGGGTTTTGATAATTTTATAAACGGGGTTCGGTTCGGGTTCAGATTTTTCCCCAAAAACCCGGGTTTTGGTTCGGTTCGAATCCCTGATTTAAAATGCTATAATTTCAATATAAATGGGTGATTTATTTTATGTCAAATTAATTTCAAATATAATTTAATGATCTTTCATTTTTTTTACTAACTCTAAAATAATTCCTATAAAATTGTTATTAATGGATAAAGTTTTAAAATAATTATATTATAGCCCTCTGAAATTTCAATTTTTTCGCCCCGAGTCCAGTCTGAAATATTTTACATTTTTAGGCCTGAACCCGAATTTCAGCCTGGTCCGAAATTTTTAATTAGCAAATATAAATTAAATGCAATGAAGTAAAAACTACTAATTGACTTTCCATATCATATTCGCAGATAAATTTTAGTGATCTTATTTTGAAGAGAAAACGTTATTTTCAATTATTTATATTTTTCAAGCCCAACCTGATCTAAAATTTTTAAACATTTGTTTGGAATATTATCATAGGCTCGATTCCGATTGACCAAATATGGATATTGTTTTAAATATATTTCATAAATATCATGACGATAAATAGGCATAATTTAAAATTTAGGTCTATACTCACTCCACGATCATGAATGCCATCGTGTTATTTTTTCGACGAATATTTAGAAGTGTTTAAATTTTTTTTAAATTATTTTCCTGTGCACTTTTTTTATCAATATCATTAATGACGTATTTTGTAATCTTATGCTTCAATGAATAAGATAAATTTATTTTTTGAGAAAAAACTTATATAATAAAAATATAATTTTTTTGCCTAGGGCATAAATATTTTTATTAAATGAATTTAAAAAAATTTTTAAATGCTTTTATTTTCTCATAATTATATATATGATACATTAATAAATAGCACTTAAACTAAATAAGAAATATAAAATGTATAAAACTAAATAACATTACATGAAGTTATTTTTATAAGAAAAAGAACCAAATTAAATTCGGGATAAATATTTTCACTGAAGTGATTTTTAAGAGTTTTTTGGCAATTTCAAATGTGTAGTAATAAGTATCAGATATAATTTATAAATAAACCATAAGAAAAAATTATTACAAATAATGAGTAAACAAATAAAAATTATATAGGATATCAAGAATTGTAAAATAAATCAATTCCCTGAATACAAAGAATAGAAAATCATTTAAATTTATTAAATCTATTTCAAATAAATTTTTTACAAATCGAAAATGGTCTCCAATATTTATTAAGCGATGAAAAATATATAATAAATATTTTCGAGATGTGCAAATATATTTTTTTAAAAAAATCGGGTTCGGGCTTAATATTTTTTAAGAAAATTCTGGCCAATCGGGCTTTAGAATTTTTATTAAATATATCTAAATTTATCAATTTTATGTAAGATAAAAAAATTTGATTTTATTTATAGAAACTAGACCCTTTATAGCATATATCGTTTATTTTGAGTAATTATAAAAACTAATTTATATATTTAAATAAATTCGTGAAAAATATTTCAAGTTCGGGCCTGCAAACCTTTTTTAAAAATTTCGGGCCAGGCTTGAAAAATTAGGCCCGATGCAGATCACTAAAATATTTTACAATTTTAATGGCCGCCAATATATTTGAAGCGATAAAAACATCTCTTAAAAATCAATACGGTATTGATTCTACAATACCAAAATATCACTATGATATTGAATCTATATTCACAATCCTACATCGGCCTAGATTTTTTAAACAATTTTTATAGATGTTAGTAGCGATTTCGGCATTTTTAGGGCCGACCCGGGTATGTTTAAAAAAATTAACATATAGGTCTGGTAAGTATACTCATTCAAAAATAACATTTTAATTTTTTACATGACCGTGTTCAATTTCAAACTATAAAAAAAATTTGATTCGCAAACTTGAAACTCTTGAAAAAAGAAATAAATATTTTTTAATATAAAAATGAAAACATGTCCAAAATCTAATTCTAGAAAAATTTTAAAAAGATTTTGGACATTTCCCAAGAAAAAGAACCAAATTTACTTAAAATATGAATTAAAAACCGATATATAACCTTTTTAAATAAGTAAATCACAAATATTAAAAAGTTTTCCGTGTAGCATTGGGAAACTATTATTAAAATAAGATGAGGATGAAATGATGTCGAAGCTTGGTTTTTATCTATTAACAAATAAATAGTAAATAGCGAGAGAAGAGTTTAAATTATAATCTTTTTAATTATAAAATATATTAAAGAATTGGTTATTTGTTTTAAATTTTATATAAATAAATATTTTAAAAAAAAATTAACAAGGCCTTTTAAAACACGACCAAGGTCCGGTGTTAAAACCATTTCAAACTTCGTCCAGAGGAGAAAACGAAAATCATTTTTATGCCACCGTTTTTGACGATAAATCGCATCATGATGAAATAATCCTCTCTTTAAGAAGATTTATCCCTCGGTATTTTGGAGTCGAGAAAATTGAAATAGACAGGATGAGTTTTAATAATGATTTAACAATTTGAATAAACTTTAAAAAACATTTTTAAAATGGATTCGGGGCAAATTAACATCTCCTTAAGTTTTTACTTGAAAAGGCTAGTCATTTTTTTAAAATTTGATGTTAAAAAAACAATATAGATCATCCGACCCTGTTAAATGTTAAATATTTTTTTGCACACCATTTCAATATTTTTAAGGTCAAGTTACATCCCTCTATTTGTTTACTATAGGGTTTTATTTCTATTTTTGATCGAAATTACTAGATTGTCGAAGTAATTTATTTTATATTTAATTCATTAAAGGTTTTGAAATTTTATCAATTGATTGGTTATAAGAGTTCTTTTTACACGCCAATTTAATTTTAAAATAATCCTATTTTATTTAAAGTCAAGTTACATTCTAATATTTGATTACTTTAGTTTTAATTTCATTTTTGTTCAAAATTGAATTGGGTTTAGAATGATTGACAAAAAATTAAGTATAATGAATGGTATAGTTAAGGAATCTCAGAAAAAAAAATAAGTGTTCAAGCTTAACAATAAAAAAAAAATCATACAAAATATTATGTTAGAAAACAAATTAAATGTTTATTTAGGTGTAAGAAATTAAAAAATAATTTTTAAAATTTGTAAGTGTTATTTTTTAAAATATTTTGTGTAAAATCAACTTATATATAAAACAATTTATATTTGTTTTTTATTAATAAAGCCGTAAACTTCATTAAATTGGAAGATATAACAACAAATTATGAAAAACCCTGTATTCTAGACATTAAAATTGGAAAGGAAAGTTATGAGCCTGGAGCTCCATCACATAAAGTATGCTACGAAAAATCCAAATATCCATTGTTAGAATGTATAGGTATTCGAATACTGGGTATGAGGGTATTGCAAACTAACATAAAATGTATATAAAAAAAATTTAGGTATACAATTACAAGACAAAAACTTATGAATTTTATGACAAAGAATATGGAAAAAGTTTAACTGAAGATCAAATTATGCAATGTAAAATATTCATTTTTATCTAATTTTTAGAATATTTTAAAAGGTCTTGAAAAATATGTGTCATCGGTGGACAATAATCCAGACATAAAAACACAACTCATACATGGCTTTTTATCTCAATTGGTTGATGTCAAAGATTGGTTTTCAAGGCAAAATAAATTCCGCTTTTATGCATCCTCCCTGCTTTTTGTTTACGATTCTCATGAATGCTATTCAAATGGTACTCTTGACATAGTTAATAGAAATGGTGATTACCATTCTAGCCCACAACATAATTTAACAAGCTATAACCCTAATATCAAATCTAAAAACATAAAATGTGATATAAAAATGATCGATTTTACCCATGTGACATCTATGCATCACGATTTCCTTGATCAAAAAAATAATCTACAAAGCCAATTCCGTGATGATAATTATTTATTTGGTCTAAACTACTTATTAAAAATATTTGAAAATTTGCTGATTTTATAACTTTTGTCAATATGTTTTATTTTTTATTATACTAATAAATTTATATTAAATAATATTGTGACGTCTATATTGGTTCCAGTGATTAAAATATTTATTTGGTAATGAAATTTAATAATATATGGAAAATACAATTATATCATTGTAATATGTAAAAAAAAAATAACATTAAAACATTTATAATTAAACAATACTTATTACAAATTAAGTAATTAATTAGTGATATATTGAAATAATGAAACTTTTTAAAATAAAGATAAAATTAATGGGGTAGCTACTGAAATATAAGTTTTATGCTAACAATATAAAATAAAAACCTTCCTCATTAGTTTAATAAAATTATAGAAAAAATTATATATCATAAGACATAAATATTTTATCAGAATGTTTTAAAGTGAATTGATGTCCTGGTGGTAGCAAAGAAAATCCCAAAAACATAAAAGTTTTTATCAAACAACCTATAAATAATTTATCATAAAATTGTATATATAAAACAATTACCTTTATCCATTCTATTTTTATTAAAACAGACAATTGCATTCTTACAATGTAATATTTCCTCAGTGTATTCTAACAAGTTAACAAAACTAGAATTGAGTGTTATATATATTAGCAATAAAATAATACCTTTCTTTAGAACCTTCAGGTAAACCACCTTCAGGGATTGTTATATAAAGTTTTTTATCAAAGAACAAAGCTTGCCATTTGACAGTTAAAGAATTCGTTAAAATTTGCTGAAAAGTAATGAAAAAAGGTAAAGATTTAGCAGCTAATGAAGAAGGAGATAGTTCATTGTTAGCATCATCCTAATTACGATTAAATTTTATATTTACAAATTAGATATACCTTATACCCAGCAGGGGGCTCTTTTAAAACCCCCACGCCGTTGCCCTCTGGGGTTTTGTTTTTAGAGACATTGACGGCATGGGGAACATCAGGACAAATACCAATTTCCTGTACCAAGCTGTACAGTTAAATGCTTCGTGCTACAATTATTACTAGAGGCTATCAAGGGCATTCTATATATATATATATTATTTATAAAAATACAATATATAACTTCGAATCAATTGGAGAAACTTCAGAATTATAAATATAATTTAAAAGTGGTTGGGGATCCAGACTATAGATTGAATTAACATTCAGAATGTTCATGATTGATAACTGATATCTTTGATCAAAATTATATAAATGAATTAAATGTCCTCCTGAATATTCTTTTTGTTAAGACACGTGAATAAAAATAGCAATTTTAATTGGATGAACAAATAGGCATAACAATCCACGTGAACATTTTTTTTATAAATGTTATTCATTTAAATATTCATGAAGTTTAGATAGAATAACATGTTTCTTAATATTTACGATATGATAATAATTTTTAAAAAAAACAAAAGCATAAGAAGTAATTTATAAATATTATTTTACTTAATATTTATGGTGTATCCAAAATATTAAAAATATTGCCCATATTTCTAATAATTATTTTATAAATATATTCTTACAGATATCGATAATAAATTTTAATAACATCTATAGAATAAATTAAAAGATAATTTTATTTTAGTAACAGGAAAAAAATAAAGAGAAAGCTCAATAATTAGGTTATTTTAATACATTTCAATTACAATACATATTTTTAACCAACGAATTATAGAATTGTTATTCTGGTAGATATCTACTTTGGATCAATTGTTTTAGCAACTATGAATAATAACAGTAGAGGTCAACGTCTACATGACAATTTTTTAAAGCCCCCCTCCCCCCTTTGAAAATATGATTCCATGTCAATTCACAAAACTTTTATCGCGAATTAATTATATAACGAAACTTCTATCGCGAATCCACATTATCGAATACTATTCCGCGAATCCTCATTAGTGAATACTATTCCGCGAACAAATATAGCGAGACCCCTATCGCGAAAATTATATAGCAAATTATTACAGCGAAGACAATATAGCGACTATTATTTCTCAAACATATATGGCGAAGACATTCTATCGAATTTAATATAACGATTTGCTAATAATGACTATTTTATTTTGAATATTTTTATAATTATTTTAAATGAATATTATTTTTTAAAGGTACAACTCATTGATACAATGATATAGTTGGTTATCTTTAAACCTTAATAACATAATGATTAATGAATCTATATATGGTTTATAAAACTCGTTATTGGAATATACTTTTTTGCGATCCTGTCCTATGCTTTTCTTCGAAGCTCTTATTTTATATCACGCACAAGGAAATAAGATTTCTTAATCATTAAATTTATTAGTTAAATTGATACTTACTGGCAAAATTGTTATCAGAGTTGAATTAATATTTATTGTCTGATGACTTAATATTTATAAATTTATAAATCTGTTTTGGCCATTTATTTATAATTGAGTTTTGGCCAATGTTGAAAGTTCGATCGATTAACCGGATAAATGAACCAATGAATATTTCACCTGGTCAAATACGGTCAAATATTCTGAAAGAGTTCCCAACATTAAGGGGAGCATCTTACTTATAGTAAATTTAATAAAGTATGTAATATAAATAATATAAGAATTGGGCATACAAGGTGGTGATGATCAAAATATTTTGATACCTAAATCAGAAGTACAAGCTGCACGTTTAATAGTTTTATAGAAAATTATAGGGAAAAATGAGCTTTGACCCCCAGGGCTATTAAGAGAAGTGGCATTTTACTAACAATTTCAAAGATATTGGTCAATTTGGTCTTACTAAATCAGAAATTGATTGAAGATTTCTACAATAAGAAAATTGTTTAAAAAATATAAAATAAAATAATAATATTGAATATGAAAAAAAATATTTAATTGAATTAGGCCATATTTGACCGGTCAAATGCACAGCCCTAGTTTTGGTAGCCTAACTAAAAACAGAGTAGCTAAATAAAAACTACGACATTACTATTTAGTGTCAATTTTGAATGGCAATTCAAAAATAAATTATATCTAAGTGAAATAAGGGATTTCCCCAATTCAAAATATTTTTGAATCTTATTATTTTAAGATCTTTATAGATATCTTTTTACCTCTTCTCTTTACTTAGATATAAATTATTAGTTATATTTTCAAAAAATTTAACAGAATTGAATTTATCACAAAAAATAATTTATCGCTCAGAAATTTTAACTATTTTTTTTTCATTGCCTAAGCATGATTTTTCCAGTTTTAAAATTAAATGTTACTCTATGCAGGATTATGTCATGAAGGGGAGGGGGGGGATACTATTTTTTTAAATCTAGACAAGGGTATCAAATGAAAATCAATAAAATGATTTTGAGTGCTATTAAAATTACTCATCATTTTATTTATGCCCTCGGGTCTAGATTTGGAGAGATTTAAATATTTTTTACAAGAAATATCGGACAAGGGCATCAAATGAAAGCGGATAAAAATATTTTTTGAATGCTACCATCTAGGTTCTTCGATCTAGCTAATTGACAAAAAGATTGGGGCATTGGGGTTGTAAAAACCTACTCTAGAATAAATCTTGATATAAATTAAAGCTGATTAAATTTTAAATTTAATTCATAGTTAATTCACTTTGTTTCAAGTTTGAGTCTGGTTGGGGGGATAAAATGGGATGGAAAGGTTAATATCGGGTTTCAAATAAAAGCTAATAAAGGGATAGGTTTGTATCGTTATACTCGTCACTGTTTTTAGGGTAAAAGGGGAAAGAGTAAGTGGAGGGCGTGATAAAAATTATAGCATAATATATCGAGATAAATATATGGGTTCTTATTAAGGCTTAAATAATTTTAAAATATAATTAAAAAAATAGCTATACTAGAAATTAATAAATTTAGTATTATTTAGAAATTGACATATTTGATAAATTATAACTATTAAATATTACTGAAATTTTTTAAAAAATATTTATAATCGTCTGGCTGGTGTCATTTCCTATGTATTATATTATAACTTTATTTCGGTGCTTTTAAATTCTGTTATCAAGCAAAAATGAGATCCTAACTTTTAAAAATTATTTATTCCGCCTGGATAAAGTTGTCCCAAAGACAAATTATTACAGATGCCTTGACCAAGATATATTTAAACGTTCCTTTACGACTTACAAAAATATGATAAGAATAAGTAAATACATAATTATACTGAAAATCCAGTCGAATTGAATACCATGAAAATAATTAATTCAATTAAGAATGAAGCTTTGAATGATACTATGGAAGCTTCAAACTTTATTGTTGCGAAACACGTGTCTCAATTTGATTCCATATGGCACTACCTTTCTTATGAAGCGTATAATTCACCACACGGAGTTCAAATAGCTATACACCTCAACAGGCCCGTACGCAGGAATTTGGTCTGGGGGGGGGATAATAAAATTTTTTAAGAAATATTATTGTTTTTAAAAATATCAAGCATAAATTTATTAGGACTAATAACTATTTTTAATACACAATTTTAAATTTATGTAAATTATAAAAAAATTATATGTAAAGAATCACTTAAATGACCCAAAATAGAAATTTGAATTTTTTGAGCCTTTGCACAAAAAGTTTCTTAGGAATAATTGCATTTTATATGTTATATATTTACAATGTAAAATCCAATCTTCGTTGTGATTAAGTTAATTTTTCAATTATCTCATCCTTGCTTGTGGTCAAATGCCTATGAATATTCAAAAGATCCAAACCTTTCAATCTACTTTCAGATGTTGTACTTCTTGGTATGTTTTTCAGAGACCTGCAGGCCCGGCCCCCGGGCTGGACAGTATTATTATTTTTTTAAATCAAAATTTAAAAAAAAAAACACCCAAGCCGGGCCCGAAAATTTTATTTTAAAAAAAGCCGAATCGGGCTCGAAAATTTTATTTTAAAAAAAGCCGAATCGGGCCTAAAAATTTTTTTAAAAAAGCCGGGCCGGGCCTGAAAATTTTTAAAAAAACCCACGGGCCGTAAAAAATCTTTAAAAAAAATTCGGGCTGTGCCCTGCAAATGGTACTTCTGCAGGTCTCTGTTATTCTTTTTAAAAAGAGAATGTTCTCTCATTAGTTTACTAATGGGAAGAGTTTATAAACTCTTTTATGGGAATTTAATCTAAAATGTGTTTGAAATAATGCAGAGCATCCATAGCATTTTTTGGGACTATATCCACCATTGTTAATCTTATAAACATAGTTATTCAGCTAGTAAGGCATCATAAGATATTATAACATCTTCATAATAAAAATCTAACAAATATTATTTTTCTATCACCATCTGAAAAAGGTTGGGAAGGCTTTTGTGGTAGTAATATTTGCAGATTAGTAAGTGCTGCATGATGAATTAAAAATTCATTTATTTGGGTTATAAATGTATCTGTATTTAAGATATACTCTTCTACTTATCCTATATTAATGTTTTAACGATGAGCTTGCCTTGCTACAGGTCGAGGGAGACAAATATTAAACACGTATAACTCTGCTTTTGACTCAAATATGAAATTCTTCATCAACATTAGCCCTAATTTCCTTGAGTTCTGATAAAATGCTCTCCGCTATTCTCATCTTCTTAATCAAGTCAATGTCATGTTTTTGAAAAGTAATACTTAGAATAGTTAATTAAATAATACATTCTAATGAGAAATAAAATTTGGAATAAGAATTGAATCCAATAATTTTCTTGCTTCTGAGGAAATATTTCTTTCAGGCCATTGTGATATTTCAATAATAGCAAATAATTGGCTCTTCTAACTCCTTAAAAGCTGTTACTGCTTGATGGCAGAGACTCTATCTCGTTGGACAAGGTCTGCATTTTTTGGCTTGGGGGGGGGGGGGGTTGCCCCGCCCCCCATGCACTTCAAAATCCTAGCAGCCCTATCGAGTTAGTAATTCCGCATGAATATTCAATCACAGATAGGTATTCATACTTCATTACGATTTTTTATATATTCTTGAATAATTTAAATCCGAAATTTTTATTAAGATAAGCTGCCCGATAAGAAACCTTATTTAGCATGATTATTTATTTATCATATGTAATAGGTTCCCGACCCTGTTATCATATTCGGAACAAAAAATAATTTGAACTTTTTAGCTTCATGTGAACATTGGTTCTCTGATGGCACATTTAAATCGTGGCTACCTTATTTTACGCAAATTTATACAATCCATGGGAATAAATATAATAATGTTTTACCACTTATATATATATATATATATTGTTCAATAAATAGGATTATAAAACATATAAAAAAAATATTTACGAT